ACAATATAATTATAAAACACAATCTAACAAGAATTCAATCAAATATATAATACAATAACATGCGATTAGAACAAAACAAAATAATAAATAATAAATTAGGAAGAGCTGACCTGTAATATCTGGGAGGTGTGTAATCACTGTCCTAAAACAACTCTGTCTTTCCACGTAAAGGTACTAACGGACATATGCATCTCCAAGATCCAACTCAAATATGTTCACAGCAGCACCTCCTCAGGGGTTACGTTCACTGTAAAGTTGAGGTGAACCTGACTAAAATCGACGTTGCCCAAAAAAATAATTGGAAGATACATGTATAATATATATAAAAAAGAATACATACTAAAAACATATACTCTCATTATATGACCTCCTTTTACATATATTTGAGAATGTTAGTCATTAGAGGCTTTTAAAGCCCACCATCTAGTAACCCCCACCACTTAAAATCATTCAAATGTCAAACTAAAACAAAATATAATTACTCATAAAATTCAATTAAATTCTAAATTAAAGTGACCCATTAAAACATATAAAATAAATTGAATGTGAAATTTTAAAACATTTATTTTTTTTCAACTGTGTATAGTGATCCTATGATAGAGATAGATCTACGAAAGAAAATCAAGTAATAGTGGAAATTGCATTTTTCAGGCAAATAAATAAATCCAAATAACAACAAATCAGTTTTAAGTTTCCATCTTCACAACTGAGTCGATAAATGAGACCTAGGCTATCCACGTTCTAGACAGTGAAAATTTATTGTTTCAGTTAGTCAGATGGTATTAATCAAATGGTATTAATCAAATCCTTGGTGCTTGATTTTGCATCCTAGTGTCGAAATAGAACAATTCTATTTGGACTTAATTGGTTGACTTAATTTATTGAATAAATTCACTTTAACTTTTGGATTAATTCTAGACTTCATCAAACATCATAACTTGGTGTTTGATAATGATCGGTTTATAGTCTGCCCCCCTTTAGAGCCCAAGACCTTCTGGGTTGATAAGAAGCGGCCCAAGAAGCACATTCACACAACGTCCCTTGGACTTGAATTGGGCTACACCCAACACAAGGTCAACCGAAAAGGTTGCAACACGACACATGGACAGGAGATAAGGGAACATTGTCTGGCGGCTTTGATGAACTGAAACCCACAAATAGTGGAGACGGATCAAATACAACAGACTGCAAGTAGTGGACGCAGAAATGTTCCAAGGACCGCAACACCAAGATGAAGACAACTATAGAAAGGACCACAGGATTAGCTAAGAAGGAAAAATGTGATACCCTAGCCATCAATAGTATAAATAACTAAGAGTACTACAGGGCACATAAGGGAGAGGGCACCAAGTAAGCTAACAAGAGAGAGAATCAAGCAATATCTTATAACGGCTTCAAGCCAAACTCTTTGTAATAGTCATCATCTTTCTTAAGTAATACAATCTTTAAGTAGTAAGAGTCTCCCTTATAGTGAATGTAACCTTAATTTTTCGGTTAAGACGAACTACTTATACTTCATCTTTACTTCATTGATCACTCATAATATACACTTTCACACACACACACACACACTCTCATACATTCATTCGTTTATCGGACTTCAACTAGTCCTATTCTGCAACCTGGGCCAATTAATGTCAAGTGCCATTAGTGTTGATCAAATTATTTTAATGATACATATCATTAGGTCAACAAATTATTTTTAAGTCCCAATAGTATTACTCGTCCAAATACGGTTGGCAGGACCTTAAACTCAAGCTTTTTTGTGTGATATTATTAGGCAATGAGGAAAAAAGATCAAAGATAGATAAGAGAGTAAACTAGGGGGTTGTTTGGTAAAGGGGTATGGGGGGTTTGGTAAGATGGGTTTGGGAAAAATAGTCCAAGCCTCCCCCAAATTTCATGTGTTGTATGAAAAATTTAGTCTTGGATTTTCAAACTCGGCCCGTAGCTGGCTCGAAGATTAAACCCACGATCATAAATTTCGTTAAACCTAGGGAGGGGCTAAGTTTGGGAAGATGTGTAAAGGGTTAAGGATCCAAAAAATAATTATACCCCTTAACACATGTGTATGAATTGAATTGATCAAGGATAAAATAATTATTTACAGGACAAATAGTTGTTAATAATTATGATATACCCGTGAGTCCTACATATGTATGTATTGTATATCAAACACGTGTATGAATTGGATTGAATGTTGAATCTCATCTTTATAAATAAAAATTTGGGTTTAAAAAAGTTTGAAGAAGACGATCTAAACCTCTCCTCAAAATCCATCCAAACAAGTCCTGGAGGCCTTGGCCGGGAATAAACATTGTCTTAGCAGTTCCCAAGTTCATTTATTTTTGACACGGAGGTGGGATGTATTTTTGGGATTTTCAGGGCCAACAATGGCCTGGACCAACCCATGGGCCATTTACCAATATATAAACACGGGGTTGGCCATAGATTGAGTGGCCTGTTTGGTTCATATATCTATAGTTAGCTGAAAATTAATTTTGAATAAAACTTTCAAATAAAAGGAATAATTTATGATTTAGTATAAAGTATAACCTTTCATAAAGTGCAATCAAGAAAAAAGATTATGGGAATTGATTCAATAACCAGTACTGGTCTTATTTAATGGAGTTCAAGTAATTGGCATAAACTTTTGTTAAGGAAAATCGAATAAAATACACTACTTTGTTCTAGGTTGGGGACTGGCCCAATGGTCCCGGCCTGGCCCACAACAGTATAAATAAAAGAAAAATTTAGAGGTCGGTCTCTCTTTGTGGACTTATTTGGTGATAAGTTCATCAAAAAAACTTGTTTAATATTAAGTCTATTTTGATTTTCATTGTCCAAAATATCATTATTAATTATATTTAATTACAACAAATTTAAAAATTAACAACTCCTAAATTTTAGAAGTTTGACTACCATAAATTTTTTTTGTCTCTTATATCTATTTATATCCATATATAAAATTATATAGAATATGACTATTTATTTCTCTCTTCCTCGTATATATATATATATAGTAACATTAAAAATAAAAAATAGTAACATTCAAAAAAAAAATAACGTTCAAAAATAAAACATAGTAACATTGAATATTAAGATTTGAAAAAAATAACAGTAATAAAATTGTCAACAAAAAATGTAACATTAAATAGTGATATTTCGAAAAAATAGTAACATGGACAAAAATAGTAGCATTCAATATTAAATTAACCATAGTCTTCTTAACAAAAAAAAAAAATGAGAGAGAGATAAGTTGTAGTGATGTCAAATTTAAATTTGAATTCCAGATTTTATGAAAAAAAATCTATTAGTGCGAATTAAAGATGACTATTTAGGAGACTAATTTAATGTTAAAGATTGTTTTTTAAGTCATTAGAAGGGCATTTTAAAGTTTTTAAAAAATAGTGAACTTGATTAATTATTAGTAATATTAAAAACAGACTTATCCCCAAATAAATTTTCTTGACGGATTAAACTTATTATAAGTCTCTCAAGGAGAACTCAACCCCAATTTTCACTTAACAACAAAATAATGTTAGTGATTACTTTACCATTTTTAATTTTAAATCTAACTAAAAAATTATATTTTTAAATTTTAAACACCAAACAACTTTTTTGTAAGGATTAATCGCATTTTACAAAAATACTCAAATATTTAATTTAGGATAAAAAACATGGACACCCTCTAAGTTTTGGCAATATTACAAGGATGTCCTTGATATTTTACAAATAATACGTAGACGCCCCGAAGTTTGAAACTCATTGTATGGAGACTCCTTCTGTCTCTTTTATGTTAATATTGCTAACAAAAAGTGATGATAATATCTCAAAAAATAATATTATTTTCACAATTACCCTTCTCCAAATTTAGTACACAAAAATATTAAAAATTTAATAAAAGTCAAATAAAATTTGATTTGGTACCCAAAAAATTGATGTAATTTAGTATCCCAAAAATTAATTAAATAAATTTGAATATTAATTTGATAAAGTTGAATATAAATTAGACAATATTAAAGGTCAATTTAATAAAATAATATTTAATTTTGGATTATAAACTTTGACAAATTGACTAGTAATTTTTAATTTTATCAATTGTAAATGTCAATTATAAAATAATATTTAATTTTTTCAATTTAATACTCCACTTTGTCGAATTAATTTTTGTTGTTATCAAATTAATATTAAAATTCATAAAATCAATTTTTTGAGTCTAAATTATATCAATTTTTATTTGTTTTTATTAAATTTTTTTTAATAAATTTAGAAAAGGGCAATTTTGAAAATAATAAAAAAATTTAGGATAAAATTATCACTTTTTGTTAACAATATTGACGAAAGAGAGACATAAGAGATATCTGTTTTACTTGTAAAATGTCAGAGGTTCGTGTAATATTGACAAAACTTAAGGAATGTTTATACACTCAAAGTCAAAAAAATTATACTCAAATTTTCATTAACTTTTTTGTTATTATAACTAGTGTAAACATGATAATAAATTGTGTTTTTAGATAGAAGAATGAACTACAATTTTTTTGATCCAAAAAAAAAATATATAATTTGGCTTTGGACCATATTACGATCTTTTTTTTATGCCATTGAAGATATAATTTGAAAATTAAAACATTTTAAAATATAATTTAATAATTTTTTTTTGAGCAAGAATTTAACAATTCAGTCATCTTTTAGAATATGAAGCGAAATTAATATTTTTTCGGAAAGCCTTTTGAAATTTCCAACCAATCGCAGGGCGTTCAAAGCAAAGATTCTCATTTTCCCACGACAACGTCCACTGATTCGCAGTCCACCTTCAAGGCTTGAACGCCTTTCACTTCTTCTTCAGTCTCCATCAAACAGAAAAACCCTCCAAATCCCCATTCCAATGTTGCCATTCCTTTCTCTCTCCTCACTCTACCCCCGCCCACCAAATTCCTAGCTCCCAACCCGCAAACACAGAGAGAGAGAGAGAGAGAGAGAGAGAGAGAGAGAGCTCCATGGACACTCGTCGAACCTCAAGGGTAATCGACCCCAAAGTCCGCAAAGTCGGCTTCTTCACCCCCGGTCCAACTCCGGACCGGACTCAATCCGGCCCACTCGGATCCTCTCCTCCTGCCGTGTCCGGCATGTCTCCGTCGAACAATTCTCTCTCTCCGGTATGGATCCCACCGCCACGTCACGCTTCCGATAACATGTCGCGTGCCATGGGCGTACCGGTGCCTACGACGTCGTCTCAGTTGAGACGGGGACCTTCGATTGATAAGGAGCAGGTGATTGAGAGTTATAATGCTTCCGAGTCGCTCCTCGGGACCTCTCCAGTGCTCTCGCCGCCTTTAAATCCGATTGTTGGCGACGGTGAGTTCTCGGAGGACTCGGTGAATTGGATTCGGAGGAGCAATTCGGGTAAGTTTGCTTCTTCTTTACCAGGTGGTGGATTTGATTTAATAGTGGCGGCGAAATCGGGTGATTTGAAGAAGGTTCACCGAGTGTCTAGTAATGGTATATTCTCGCCTCTTTATTTGGTATTCGATGTTATTGATGATTGTTTATATTGTTGTTTGTTTTCCAGCATAAATGATCAAAATATCTTGAAACTTTGAGAAAATTCACATACCTCCGTGTACATTTGGAGTTGGAATATGGAAATTAGAATGGAATTTTCATAAAGTTTGGTCAAAATTTTGAAAAAAAAAGTACTCTGCGCAAAAATTGGAATATAATGACAATTCCCAGCAAATGATTATCCATTATTTTTGGAATTTTGGCTGTACTTATATTTGTTTTACAATAACAGTTCAAAGCAGTTGAACAGTCTAGAAAATAAAGCTGTGTGGTCGTTGGTTATAAGAACCTAGAGTTACGACTGTTCCAATCTGGGAATTTGGAAAATGTGAGTATTGGTGGGACTGCTGGATTTGCTAACAAATTGCAGCTTAAAAGATTTTGATTTTAGTGTGGATGATTAGGATGGAACTCATGGTAGAATAGAAGGTATCTATAAGAGAATATATTAGACGGATTGGGTAAAAATAACATAGAACAACTGTCTCTGTCTTCCTTATAGGAGTTGTTTTTGCTTGTTGCATGTTCCCGTGATCAATGCTTGGATCAAAAAGTGTGCCTCTAAGTTGAGGTACGTAACGTCACGAATTATGTGCCCCTCATTTGCTGAAAACAACAATTATGCGATGAGGAGTTGTTATCATTGGTGAACATTTGAAATCATTGAAATTTATATAATAAAATAAGAAGCTCTCGAAAATATTTCCTACAAACTAAACCGATGGTTTAGATCAGTTTAACACGCCTATCTTATCGCACGACTTACATTTTAATCTTTTAAGTACAATATACATTTAACCTTTTAAAGTAAAGTAAATATTTTAACCATGGTTAAAAAATCCCTACTTTGCATGGGCTGCCCTAGTATCACAATATATTGGTTAATTAAAATTAGTTAAATTCTGGTACTACTTGGAAACTACTTTGAGGAGCAATATTTGTGTTAGACATGTGGAATGCTGATACTTCTTGGACGTTGTTGGACTTTAAATAGAGCATCGTCTATATGTGTGCAATTCAAACACCAAATTGTTGAATCTATAGATGTGGTTTGACTCATATTGAACGCATGCCAACAAGTGACAAACAAAACTAGACAGTGTTATTATAACTCTCTTTTAGCACAAATTACACAAATCACTACATACTCTTGTAAAACATAAAGCAAAATAAGATATTACTTACTACAAGAAGACCGGTGATAACTCGTGCTTGAAGGCACTTTACATAGCCCGTGTTTAAAGGCATTATACAATTCAAACAATCGAACATTGATCCTAGACACAAAAAAATCAAGCACTAAAAATGGACATGCATTAAGCTTAAAGCTTAAACTACATCATTAACACCCATACTAGACATACATGCTCAATAAAGTATTACCTATTTGAACTTTCTCATGAAGACAAAGTTAATAAAAAAATAAAGAAAACTCAACATTAATAATAAAAAATAAATAAAGTTAAACCGGAAACCCATAAAATTCATATACTTGAAATTAATCAAACCAAGTCTTATGTCCTAATCATTTGGGGTCGGGTATGAGTTGCTCTTTGCTATTAATTTTGGTCACGTGCTATATGCTCATTTAAGTTAAATACTTTATATCTTTTCTTATTATTTCGTTTAATGTAAGTTTAAGTCTACTCCTACTTCTAGTACCATTAAGAAAAATTCTATCACTTTTTTTAACGGGTGTCTTTATCGGCCTCCGTTGAACATGACTAAAATATCTTAATCTATTATCTCTCAACTTGTAGGAGCTACTCCTACCATTTTAGTAATAAGGTAAGGTAATCAATCGTTATAATAATACATAAATGAGTTTCTATATCTGATATGCAAAATATTTTCCCGTTCCGACCTCGTAAAGATATTAGGACTTTCACACTGACATTGAGACAAAAAACATCTAAGAAGGAGGGCGGTGCCCTGAATCAATCAAAAAGTTTCAAAGGCAGAAGAATAGATATAGTCTCATAGTCAGGCAGGTCTCTTAGGAAAAAGAAAAAAGAAACATTCTCATTTTCGATGCACTCATTTTATCACTTAAAATTATATACCTAAAATTAGAATCCATAGTAGCGCCCAAAAAGATTCAATCAAAAGTCAACTTAGAGAGTTTCTACAAACCTATTAGAAGAGATGCTCGTGTCTAAAGGCTCTGCATATAATCAAAATTCAATTTTCTTTGTCAACATTGCATATTAACACTTCATATCACCAATTGCACAAAACACGCACACTGAAATTGAACAGTTTTGATAAACATAACATATTCAACCTCAATTGGTATCCCAAATTCACAAAACTTACTAATGTTTTCACCTTTTTTGGTCTTAGTTTACACGTCTCATGTCAAACAACAACATAAGCAAAAATATATTTAAAGTGACAATAGCTTGATCAGATCAAGGAAAATCGGGACAACCTCTCGACGAGGACATCAAGTTCTTCTGGTGGGGGTGGTTTGTTACTCCATTAGCTCTTGGCTTGGCGTTGGCATGTGGCAACCTCGCCCAAAGGCGCCCATGCTTAGCCAAATGGGGTTTTGCTTGAGGAAGCAAGCCTTTGGTGTAATCAGTGGGTGATTGAAGACCAATGCATGACTGAGGATGGTAGGTCATGCATGGGCACGTTGGGCATAACCATTGGGTGATTGAAGACTCATGCATGGCTGAGTGAGGCAACTCATGCATGGGCATGATTTGGTGCTATATAAACAATTCAAAAGCAAGTAAGAATGAATAATTCAAATGGTGGAGGAGCAATTTAAAACAGTTGAAAAATCATACCAACTGGCGTATATTTGCTATTCCATTATCGGAGGAGCTTGTCTTTGCTTTTCCCTTAGATCTAGCATTCGTGGTTGAGTTTTTTTTTTTTGTTAAAAAAATAATATAAATCATTGAAAAACCAGTTTAGTAAAAAAAACATAAATAGATGTGGTTTGGCATTACCTTAACTATAAGGAGGCGATTAAGTTCACACTCTTCATGGATGACAACGCCTACATTATTTTCCGGAGTAACAAGACCTATATATACGCAAAAAATTACAAAGCAAGTACTTTGATATCTATATAAGTAAGAAGTAATAATCAAATGGGAGAAAAGAAATCTATTTTATGGTTTTGTCTAGGTCTTCATCCATCTGTAATAAAATGGATGACACCAAACCTCTAGTGGTGACTAACTATGGTAAACAAAGGAACAAACTTTGAAAAGGCTCTACATAACAAAAAATTATAGATTCAAAAAAAGAGAATCCATTGGTATGTTCCAAAATCATGCTTCTCTTCACATGCTTATTTAAACAAACATGCGACTTCAATAATAGATTGGATGACAATTCCCTTCTCTTCCAACAAATTGAGAAGCTTACCCCTTTGTCAAATCCACGACATCAACATCAAACATATAAACACAGCAATAACATTAATGAGTAGGAAAACGCAATTATTTGAAGCTTCAAAGACAATAAAACCTAATCTTAGTAATGATAAGCGTCTCAATTGATAACACAATGGATCTGAATACCAAAATGGTTTGTTTGATGTAGGGGTATGGGGCTGGGCAATGCTGCTTTAACAGCTCTAAAACAATTTTACATGAGCTCTATGTACCAACAATTTTATGCTTGAATCTGAAACCCTAAGCATTCAACATTGAGAAGCATGATTGGCTATCCTAATTGAACCAACACAGTGTTTTGCTTCCCCCCCACCTATCTTACCGAGCTCTGTTTATCCGTTCCTTTCCCTTACTTCCCTAAAAGTTGGGTCTATCTCTTCCTACGAGACATGCCTCACCAAAACTAGTGATTTTCTTACAGTCGATGTACAAATACAGCTGCATTGTGAACACTTACACATGTATGATGTAATAGTCACAATAAATAACAAAGGAGTATGATGTAACCAAAATCGCATAGATTGTGAAGAACCATAGACTAAAAAAATAAAGCTAGATATGTTGGACAATTTGCAAAAATAACACGATAAGCTGGTCTAGAAATAATTGAATGCAATCAACAAATGTATAAATGACTTACAACTTCTGAACATCTCGTTAGACAATAAAAACAAATTATCGGAGTGCCACTCGACTCGTATTATAAAGTCCAAAACCTGATCAAGAAATTGAGGAAAATGAATGACTTTGTGTAGTCCAACCATACTTGGACACTCTCGATTGAATCCAAATCAATTGTACCTAATACCAATGGTTAAATAATAACAATACTCTCATTCTCTGATTAAAGCAATCAAAACCTATCTGAAATGAACCACATAACTCCCATTTAGGTTTAACCAAAGCTCAATTGAAATGAATCAAAATCTATTCAAAATAGCAAAACCTACTTGGTTAAACCAATTCTAACTCTTAATTCTTGCACCACTATTTATGCATTACAGAAAAAGTACAATCAAAAAAAGCAAATGCTAATAAAAAGATTGAAAAACAACACTTTCAAGATTAAAACAACTTTAAAATCTTCCTAATTTGGCAAGAAAGAAAGGCAAAAATCCCAAAATATAGCCAAATTTATTGGACCTCTTTAATAAAGAGTAGTCCCTGAATACTCTCCATAAACCTACCCAAAGAAAATAAAAATAACAACAATTACCAAGCATCAAGCATTCAAGAGGCTTCTTGAATTTTTTTTCAAAAAAATAAATTAGATCTTTAAGTGACTTCAAGACATTGAAAAGAGAAAGTAAGCGTTTTTCTAACAGGGGCTTCAATGGTCGTTCCAATGAGTTTAATTCTGCACAATGCTTGCTATAGAAAAAGAAAGCATGCAGTTTTCATAATTTAACTTGTGTAGGAAATAGAAAAAAAAATTAAATATAGTCGTATTTCTAGAACCATTCCAAACCAATGTAGTTTACAATTCCACACATCTCCATTGTCTTAGGTTTATAGGAGTGATCAAGTTTAGGCTATACTCACTAGTGCTCCCACAGATTAATCCCAACCCTAATGGACATTTCAATTCAAAAAGAGAACACAATCTTAAGGTAAATAGATGGTTCTCCCTACAACAATCCAAAAAGATACAATTAGCGAAAATACACTATTTTTACAGATGCATAAAAGATAAAATCAGCAAAAAAATGAACTTATCAAAATATCTACGAAAGAAACATCATATATTTCTTATCCAAAAAAAAATCTCACATTGACTAACCTAGACCCACACTCTTTCTAAGAGGCTATAAGACTAACAGTGAAATAGAAATATGAACTCATGATTTTT